TCAGAAATATTTCTGTCCGTTAGGATGCGTCTCAAAACAACAACCCACCTGCGCATCTAATTTGCTATTGCAAAAATTATTTGAAAATTAAGATTATTTTAAAAAGTTAGCGATCACTTGTTAGCGATGGCTTTGATGATGCGTAAAGAGGGTCTGAATCGGGTTTAATTGACCAGCGACAAAGGGGGAAATATTAACTGACGACCGACAAAATGCAAAAAAGAATTAACGATTACGACGGACACGAAAATACTAATCGACAACCAACATTATCGATATTCGTTTTCAGAAAGAAGAGCATTCTGGCTTAGAAGGTTAAATGTCAAATTCAGTGTAATAATTAACAAATTTTCAGTCATCAAATTTATTTTATAGCTGTGTAAGTTTGCGGGCTCATTTCTAGAGTGACCGCTATCCAGCCTACGAATTTGGCTAACCAATATGAAACCTTCACTTGCATTTTAATCATTAATTGTGATTTACCAACAACCTACAAAGATCGGGGCAATTAATAACAAAGTAATGAAATTTTAATCGACAGTTGATATGAGGACCCCCATTCAAACCCTCTGTAAAGGATTATCAGAGTCGCATTTACAAATAAAAACGATTACGTCAAAGTTGTAACTGAGAGGGTGGATCCTTAGCCTCCCCTTCCTAAAAGACGTTAGTGCATCACACAACAACAACACAAATATCAAAAACATCATAATTCTATTCGACATGGAGTGGTTCACTTCAAGACTTGGATGAAATGACACACCTCCTAGTTTACAGGTATTCCTCATAAGTTAAAATTGAATTTAAAAGTAAATACCGTAATAAATGAAAAAATTTTGCGAAACACGTACACACTTTGGAGAACTGGAAGAAAATTGCATAAATATATTATATAAAGCAAAAAATGATGTATCACTCAAAAGGTTTTTACCAGGTTTACATTACATTTCAGCTTACATGTGTGTAAAGTGACAAGTTAGTAGAAAAATGTTAAGAATGCGTAACCACGTCGATAAATAATCGGAATGACCACTCATGACTACAATAGACCATTCGAGTTTGAAAAAGAACCTTTTGGGTAACAAAACAGAAATGGTTATTTAGCTTTGCACGGATACATTTCTCAGTAACACAATCTTCTTCTTTTGACCACAAAATCGTGGGGAAATTGTGTAATAAAATACGTTCCCGCAGCGAGAGCACAGAAAATTCACGTAACGAAGACAATCAACAACACAATTTTATTTAACAAGGACTCATTCAATGATTATTAAAGGTTCTTCCGTTAGTGTGCGGTGTACAAAGTATATATGGACTCTTGAAGTCGTTAGCTATCGGTTTTATAATCACTATACTTGTTATACCGAGACGGCTTGCAGTTCACTCAACTCAAACCTACTGCACGGAGAACAACAAACATAACATGAAAAGTTCAAATCAGATGCTAAATAAAGGTCCTTACACCAATCCAAAATTATGTGCCAACACAACATAGGTTAACTGAGATCATTACTTTGAGTAGGGGGAGCATTTTGTTATAAATCATCTACTGAGGAAGTTTGATAGTATAAAGTTCCTATACGCTTCTATGAAACTTGGAATTTTTCAGTCTGCCTAAATTAGACGATACTGATTCTGATTTTTGATCTAACAGAGGCGACCTCTAAATCTCTAAGCGTAGTCATTTTAAGCCTTGTGTGTACATCCCAACAGACACTTGGCAGGACACTTAACAAGTTAAACATATGGCACCTTCGAGCACGCCCACGAAAAAAAAAAAACATCAACAAAACAGAAATAATTGCTCTCAACTAACAACAAAATAAAGTTTGCACAAGTTAGCTCATTCGTCTAATTCCTTTTCTTGTTTTTACTATTACAGGACACACAAACACAAAAATGAAATCTAATTTAAAGCCACGCTGTAGTTTAACAATAATATACTTTCCTACAGATTTCTCTAACGACAAGATGCAGCTACCGTTGCTTCCCCCTATTTGTAAACAACATAAACAACAAAGCCAGCACTCGGTAAGCAAACCCCATGGCAAATAAGACTCCTATACAAGCGCTGTAGTTATTCAGTGTGTATCCATTCCTTGTTGATATCTCATGCACATAGAGCTTCATGACATCTGGGTAACGATTAGCCTCCTTTTCAAACAATGCCTCCAGGTACCAGCGGGAGTAAGAGAGACTGTAGACTGGACTGAGCTTGTTATCTTTCATTTTACACAGTGTAGGAGAACTGCCTAGGAATTCAGTGCGAGACAAAAATAGAATTGAGTCAATTTACGAAGATAACCGGCAGCAGAGTAGGATGATGGCAAGAAACACTCAACAGCATGAAATTGCTATTGCAAAATAATTAGTAACTTGACATTCAAATAAATCGTTCCGGGATCGCGCCTGGCAAATATTACATTGTAGGAGTGCCAACTCATGCATAATCGCAAATCGATCAAGGGGAAAAATTGTGAAGAGTTTAAGGATTTATGCCTGTGCCAAAAACGTACGCAACAGACAATTTTTAAAAGCGCGGCCGATAAGATGACCTAGTTATCGCTCTAAACTTTGTTTACTCAGACACCGAATCCGAAACAACACGATGTCCTAGAATTGAACTTTTAGCGCAAGTAATCATCAATTACTGGGCTTTTTTTCAGAATTTCGTCATATTCGAGACAGAGTTGACGAGAAGTTTCCTCTGTTTCAGTAAGGGCCGGTCATTATTCACCGCCGGGAGAGGGGGGAAGGGGGGGAGGATCATAGTTTTGTCACGATAAAATTTACTTGATCCTTTAAGGCTCTGTTTTATTCTTATGACCCCCTCCGCCCTCCCCTGGCGACGACTGATTCTTCCCTTTGCCCTCCCCCCTCCCCCCTCCCCCTTAACCATACGATCCCCTAAAATTCTCCACCCTCTTCCTCAGGCGATAAGTAATGTCCAGTAACCCAGGGGTAGCAAACCAATACAACAACTCAAAGCAGCGAATTCAAATTGATTAACGTGACGCATCAATACAAATTTTCTTAAGTTCCATTCTCTATCGTCCCATCCCTCTTCTACCTTCCCCTCGTATTACTGTTTGTCATGATAACCTTTCCTTTGTCTACCTGCCAAAAGAGAGGAAATTAGTGCAAAAGTAACAGATGCCATCTGTGAGTTTTTGGGGCTGAAGATAGCGGATATGCAGTATCCCGCTCCAGTGCAGGCGAACTGAACTCCAAGAGTGGCGGCATAATGAAATCGGAAGTAAGCTAAGAAAATAATTTTCAAAAAAATTAAAACAGACACGTAGATCTAAGTTTGAAAGGTAAAGAGGGGGTGGATGGAGGTATAACTGTGCGCAAGAGATCATGAACTGTTAATCATCTCATGCTGTGCGCCTGTTCGGCCTCAACCCTAACATTCTCTGACTTTCTGGCCTAACGTCAAATATCATACTAACGGAGACTATTACTTTGGTATACTATGGACATTTGTAGACGCCGAAAGGGGAAAAAGTTGAAAAAAAATACAAAGGGGGCCTTTAAAAATTATCAGGTTGATAGCAGAGAGAAACAGAGGCCCGTGATATTCCAATAGTAATGAAAACCTATGCCTATCACATAAAACGATGTCTATTTCTACCTCTCGGTGCAATCAGTGAGTACAGCAGGCTCAAATAAACAACAGGAGTGATGACGATTATGGGAATCTGAGCGACATTGACAGCCACAAAGTAACTTATCCTGTTGACACCAGCTGCGGCTTCACTGCAATGTAAAGTTGATAATGAAGATCAAATAGTAATAAAAGTAAGTGTAAAAGTAAATATTAAACCACTGACACTCCAATGGCCTGATGGACGTTTTCCTCGTCATTTCATTGTCGCCGTCGTCCTTTGCGTTTTCTTCTCTGATGTCATCGTCGATCGTTTTTTGAATTGTTATTCACACAGATCAAGAAACACAATTCCCCACCCCTTACCGCCAGAAAATAGCCCTGGTGCTACCAAAACATCTCAACGCAGATAACATAGCGGTCAGACCAATTGCTAAGGAGCTGAGGGTGACGAGAGCGAAGAAATCGTCAAGAGGAGCCTGGTGATAGAAATAAAAAAGGTATTTTCAAGTTGGACGAATCGTCACTTAAAACAGAAAGAATACAAAAAAATAGAAGGAAAGTACTCTGGAAATCAATTTTTAGCACAGGGAGATTTCACAAATCTCGCCCTGTACGAAAAGCTGAGCATCGGTGCCATGATAATTTTCAGTTATTGACGACAAATTGGCTATTATAGTTATTTAAAATATTTTGACTTTTGGGACCCTTGCCTCTTTCCACAAATTTTTCATTTGCGTTGCACTATAATCTTTAGCAACAAATCTCTCTGAGACTAAGATGCATGAAAGATTACAAAAACGGCGCTCTAAGTCAAAACCATTTTGCGCGCGATGTATCACACCAGCAGTAGTGATCCCGATTTGCCAAACGTTAAATACTGACAGCATGAATGCCAACTAACCTCCTTCCTGAGGGCCCCGAGGGTACCCCCTGCAAGTAACACCAAGAACTGATCCAGAAGAAGTGATCGTGACAAACGAAACTGCAGTCGAATCTCACGACGAAGAAACGTGATAAACTGAATCAAGAAGTTGGGCATCTGCTTGTCTTGATCTGAAAATGGAAATTGAAAGGGCGATCACCTTGTACTAAAGCAAGTAAGTCTCGTTGAAGAAAAGGAAGGCCAAATAGAATATGAAGTTGAACATTGCAAAAACGTGAGACATTGGAATTTAAATGGTCCGTAACGTTCAACGAGCTGCTGATGTCCATCATCAGGCTATTTTCTATTCGAGCCACAGAATGTAACGCGAGCTCCCAAAGTTGCAGCTGCGCGCGCAGTCAGACTTATCCACCATGATATTAATTAACAGATCGTATCGATGCAAGGCTTCATCAACTTTCAACATGTCGAGTCAGAGGTAAAGAAAGGATCCTCGCAGTTGTGCTGCAATTAGAGAAATTGCACTAAAGAAGCCTGAAAAAGTTAGGCTTCAACGGGATTGGAACCCGTTTCAACATGTCGACTGTAAGCGATTTCTATTTAATTACTGCCCACTACTGTAATTTAGATATCTAATTGCGACTGACGATTCCTAATCAATCGGCAGATATATGCATACAAACTGACTGACAAACATCGATTACCACCGATTGATTTAGGCGACAATCAATTATCACTGATCGCGGGAAACAGACTTTTAATACCTTTGGAAATCACTGAGTACCTTTATTTGGGTTTCTCTTGAACAGTTTCAGAGTAGATTTAAAAGACAGTTGCTCTATTCCGTCATCCGGACCTGCCCGGCTCCCATCAGCACAGTCAGTGTTTTCAGCGCCCGCGTTATTTCCAGCAGCATACTGCTCCCAACGCTCCGGTAAAGTACTAGTTGATTCATCAGAGCCCTTACACAATCCGCCAATGACATCCATGTAAAAATCTGCTGGGTTCACTTTCTCAGGTATTTGAAATCCAAGCATTTCAAAATAGTTTTCCGCCTCTGATACACATCCTAGGAAGACGGTTCGTCCACCGGGCGCAAGAAAGAGAACTTTGTGGAATTTACCTAAAAAAAAAAAAAATAGAACATGACAACCAGAAAAAGGGGTTGAATTATAAATCTTAGGTTGCAAGAATTTTGCAAATTGAGAAACAAATTAGACCCAAAGAATCGTTTCACTGCTTCTGTTTCTACTCTCATCAAATATTAGAACCACAAAGTTATTTTTGTCTACGTTTTAAGACGGCAAACAAATCAGAGTAAAAAAAATTAAACTTGTTGCAATTTGCAGTTCAGACTTACTGAATATTTCGTATCTTGGCTGATGAATGACGCAAACAATTGTCAGTTTCTTTTTTTCAGCTACGGCTTTTAGTGCATCCACAACCATCAAACTTGAAGTACTGTCCAGTCCGCTACAAGAGAAGCAACAAAGGAAATATGGAGTTCAATGAATCCAGAATGGAAGCACCTTAATGTCAAAGCCTTAGAATGCATAATCAGGCGACTATGGTGGTATAAATAGGACACTGGGGACCTATGGCAACCACTCATGATATTTTGCCTTGTTATGCCTTCAGTGGCTATGGGTTCGAAATATCATCAACCATTAAATAACCTTAAAAGAAACCAAAAAGGAATATCCGTATCACATGCAACAAGTCGCTAAAGAAACACAGAATTTTCCGTCCTACCTCGTCGGCTCATCGAGAAAGAGCAACGTTGGGTCAGTCACCAATTCCATTCCTATGTTGACGCGTTTTCTTTGCCCTCCAGAAATGCCTCTTGATTCCTAGTAAGACAATAAGTAAATAATAATAACCAGAAAAATTAGACAAGCAAATAAACAAAACTAGACTGAAACATATAATCCTACGAAAATGACACTTATATCTACACGTAAAACTCGAAATGGCAATAGATAGAAGCTATACGAATTCGAGGCTGTGAAGCTGAGAGGCTATTTTCAACGGCCGGTTGCCGTCACAGTAATTCTTTGTAATGGTGTCATGATAATATACTGTATACTCAAGAGTTGGTCCTCACACTGGCAAGCGTTTTTCTCTTAGAAAGCCCATACCTCGTCCCCAATCTTTGTATTCTTGACGTGCACCAAATCAAGAAGATCCAAGACCTGCCAAACCAAAAGGGTCAGTTTTTACTGTTTCAATTTTATTATTTAATTTAATGGTAACGTGAGTGATGTAGAACGAGCTTACTTACAGGTCCCTCATTACCATTACTCAGTTCCAATACAATGAAAGATTTTAATCGGCGACATACCTCGTTGACTCTTTTTTCCTTTTCGTCTTTGGAAATCGAGGATGGCAATCTTAGATTTGCTTGATAAATCAAAACCTCCTTCACCGTCAGTGTTCTGTGCATGATATCTTCCTGAAAAAAACAGTACAAGTTGAATAGAGACATATAATGTGGATGAGCACAGGACTAATTCCTCAGGTTGTCTGACACAGAAGTTTCCTTCTTATCCTTGCGTTGAATCATATTCTGTTTAAGTCTAATTTCAAACACTGCATCAATAACTCGAATTGTCCCAAGCATTTTATTATAAAGAACTTTAACCGTCTCTGGGCGCTGGGCGCGGTGGTGGCCCTCTTGAACGACACCGATAGTACACCGATAGAAAAAACCAAGCAGTTGCTTCCTTTTTTCTGACGCAAAACAAACCTGCGGAACAAATCCCGTGATGTTTCTGAAAACACCCAAGTCGTGTACAAAGTTGTTGTTGATGAATAGACTACCGGCGCGTTTCTGAAAACAGAAATGAAAAACTGCAGTAAGTGGCCTTGAAATTTGATTAATTAAGTCAACCCTGACGCTTTCTAAGAGCATCGTTTTACAAGATCTCTCTTCAATCTCAATTCTGTTCGTCAAGTCAATTACTTGTGCGCTCATGAAGTCACAATAGGTTTACACCACAAGTTGAACATGCTTGTCATAAGTAGTGATAGCATTGTCTCAAAAATAGATTTTCTAGTTGTGGTATTGTAAATATTAGTCGCAACTATAAAAAATAGCAAGAAAAATAGTATTTTCCGCAGGTTTTCAAAGACATATTTTCTCTTTAAATGATGGAAATATTTAGTTTTCCTTTATCGGATTCTGTTAGCCGAAGGCTCCTACAAAGAACTAACCATCCAGCCATCTTTTATATCGCTAATGGCCACTTTTAATACTATCAGACCATTTTCAGTTTTAGACACTAAGGGAAAACGAAGCCCTGGTAGCACCTAGGAATGCGTCGATTTCTACAGCATCCAGGGACTGATCACACCCTTGAGCTCAAGAGTGCTGAAGTCAATAATTGGCAGAATTCACTCGAATTTTAAGCTCCGATGAGAGTATTTTTGTTACACTTATTTCACATGGAAAACCAACCCCATAATAGGCTTTTCCACTAAGGGTGTTGAGAAACGTTGTTTTGCCAGATCCCGAGGGACCCATTACCGCAGTTACTTCCCCAGGTAGGAGTTGACCGGACACGCCTTGAAGAATGGCTACTTTTGTCTGTTAAAATGAAGAAAACAACACACAACGCATAACTAAATAAAAATTCTGTTAATTACAATGTGTGTGGTGCCTCTAAAAAATATTTGTAGGAGTAAGCTCTGACTCATTCTTTAGTATTCTCCTTCCACTGAAGATTATGCTCCAATTGAAATATGTTCAAAGCATAAATTCTTCCTTTACTCTCCTGCGCATGCAGAAAATCTTACTTTAACGCAGAGTCCTTCGAAATATATCCCATAAATTGGTTTTTTACTTTCCGTGACGCACTTTCACGCCGAATTTTTTCTAAGTGTTAACAAGTTCCCCTGCAGCACTTTGGCGCCAAAAGTAAACAAAAAAAAAGTAATGAATGATACGAATAACAAGATGAAGATGATATCATTTCAACTATTATCATTATTATTATTATTATTATTATTATTATTTTCATTATCAATACTATTATTACTATTACTATTATTATTATTATTATCATATGTATTATTATAATAACAGGGGCAGTAGCAGTAACACTAACCACAATCGTATTTTGGCTGCCGATAGTACGTGACTAATTAACGTCTCCGGACTCTGTAGTAAGAAATATACTCTTTGGCGAATATTCGTACATGAGATTGACCGTTACTTTGAGATTGATAACAAAAGACCTCCTTCCCTCCCCTCTCCCTCTGCACAACCAGGTAGTTACCTTTTTAAGAGAGAGGCTAAGGTTTCGAAAACGAATGGTGATGGTTTGTGTCTTTGGCTCCGCCTCCTCTCGGTATTTATCTAAAGTGTTCCTCCTGATACTCTCTTGCATTCTTAAACGTCGTTTTGCAAAGAGTCTCTTTGTTACATAACGTTCACACCATTCTATAAGTTTTTCTTCGTGGTTGAAACAGAGCAAAAGCAACAGCATTACCACCAATATTGCTAAGATGAGTAAAACACCACCAGGGGCACTCATAGGAGCTGAAGACCCTTTCTTGCATATGGAGAGAATCTGAAAATAGACCAAAATAAGACTGCGCTCAACAAAGAGTTGTGCATGCAACAACAGGGATGGCATCTTCCACGCGTCTCTGCCACTAAATGCAAATGGACGATAAAAGATGAATTGATATTCCCATACTTGATTTACACTTAAAGTAGATGCAAAAGCAACTGGGATAAGTATTGCAACTTCGACGTGGACAGCAAAATTAGCAACTCACTGCTCCGAACCAACCTTAACAACCTGACAGCTTCACTTAGAAAGGGGTTTGGCGCCGTGAAATAGTCTACCTGTAAAGTCACGGAAGGCAAAAATTTATTCCTCCTTAAATCTAGTTGCATCGATTTCTTCCCCGTAAAGGAACTTAATTCTTATAATGCACAGCATTCATGAAAAGGATGCATTTTATGAGCATTATCTAATATTCTTTGCAGTTTTATCATTTGCTATTGATATTCATATTTGAAGTACGGAGTAAAAATAAGCCGAATTAATTCTGAGATTATAGTATTTCCATGAACATTTACAATTTCCATAGTTTTGAACTTGGATTTCACATGGCCAAATGGCCTTAAAAATCCCGTTTCTCTCGCATCTATCTTTAACGGCTGTCACCACTTAGGAGATGCCTTCGGATGTGCACTATCAAATAACAATATTGTGACTATTACCAAATATATGTAACAAGACTAATTACTCATACCGGACAGCGTTGCGGTTTCACGCTTCCATTCCGACAGAAATGTCCACTTGGACACGTCTTTTTAATGGTGACGTTTGGGCAATAGTAGCGTGGAGGACAGGGATCTGGGAGCTTTGCTCCAGGGCAAATATACTTAGAAGCTGCATGAGAATCAAAGATAGGAGAGGACTGAGAAGTATCGCAGCATTTTCCACTCTCGCGGCACAATAAAGGCGATTTTTTCTAGGAAATAAGATGAATGTTTTCATCATGAGCTGAGCGCACCACAGGCTCTGCCATTAAAGATATGACATCATAAAGATCGTCACTTAGAACAGAGCATTTAGAAGCGTAAATCTGCAATTGAAAACACGTAAAGTGACACTGGTTTCATTAAACGTCGGCAAAGTGTGTTATCAGACTCAAACCTCATTGGCATTGTAGTTCTTGCAAGATCACTTTAGCGAGCCCCCCCTTCCCAGTTAACTCCAGGATCCACTCACGTGTGAGAGGAAGTCGAAATTGTTTAGGCCTCTATCTGAAAACTGATTTTAGCTCAAGACAATTGGCCGTCAGCCAATAACACTCCTGGGTGGTAAGGACACTGCAAAATTAAACTGTTTTGCCCAAAGACCCACCCAGTCTCGAACCAACCATGAAAGCACCGTTCCACTCGCTCGGTCGTGAATAAGATCATGAAAAACTTACCGTGGCGTTAACTAGTTTATCTCTAACACAGTATGCTCCCTTTGGACATGGTATGATACAGAGTCGATCCTGGGGACAATAGAAGCCTAAAAACATTCATAAAGTTAATATTTCCTCAATTTTACGGTAGATTCTTACTCCAAGCCGACAGATGACTTTTCGCCTTAATAGCGTTTTTGCTGAGGATTAAATTTATCCCTTTCATGAGATCATGTAAACAATTTCGCTGCCTCTTCTATGTCTTAGACCGACAAACGATGATGACACAACTTGCAAAGCGGTCAATTCAGGGCTTTCCAGCAGTCTCGCTCAAATCCTTTACGAGTGAAATTGGTCTTGAATAACTCCTTACTTTGTTTTTTCCACCTCAGTTTAGAACTTTAATCGTAGTAAAACTGTATAGAGTCGACTCCCGTTATTGCGGACACCGTCGGGAGGAGATTTAGTGCCTGCAATGACGAGAATCCGTAATAGCGGGGTACGAGAGAAAAAAAAAATGTTTTATATCTAAACATATGAAATAATATGTAACTACACAAACATAAATCCTTGTAAATCCCTTATTTACCAATTTAGTTCTACGAGTGTCACAAAGCAAAGGCTTACCTAAACCAGTCTGCAGAAATCAGCAGAGACGACAGCGAATAAAATAAGCAAGTTTTGATCTCGGCCTGAAGTTCGTTACAAAACGAAAAGCGTCTTCAGATCCTTAAAAAAATATCCAGCCTGATAGAATTATTTTCTTAGTTAACCTCCATGTTTTTCTTTGATAACACGTAGTTCTCGTCTGCAATGGAGTTATCCGCTGATGTATTCCAATGGGATTGCTTTGCAAGTTGTGACAACGTCGTTTTGATTTCATTGAAGAGAATGAATGGGAAGTAATCCCCCCCCCCCTTCGCATTGTACCAAACATTCCATGAGCGCACTTAGGATATTGATGGTAGAGAGATCTTACCCATAAACCCCGAAAGAAACCATTTCATCATAACAAACAACCGAAAGTTGTTGCGACTTCCCACTTCCGGGATGGCAAATTGATAAAATGTCATCAGGGAACTACAAACTTACCATCAGGACAGGGTTCGAATTTCATTGAATGTTTATTCAAGAAAAATCCCGCCCCACAAGCTGAGGAATTTTGAGGTTCCATACAAAATGGTTTTCCCCCGCTTGTCTGCGTTGGACTAGATGTCATCATACTCGGGGTAAGTGTCGCTGCTGAAGCGTTACACGGTTTTGCAAGCGGACAACAGACATCAACGTACTTTGCGGGACAGCAAGATTTGGGTAAATCGTCAAAAACATCTGCATACAAAGATAAAACAAACAATTTTGACTGAATATTACTTTTAACTTGCAGTTGATAGAAGTATCAAAATTTCTATGTCTAAAGTGGATTTTGCTAAGCCCAACTTTTCGTTCTTCTATACACCGTGTTAACTTCCTACGTTTAACCATACAATTTCCTTTTTGAATTAAAACTGCCTTATTGCCTTCGTTTTTAATTCCTCTGAAACGGGAAAATAAGTTACATTTTGGGCAACTTATTGATGCTCGTCTAATTTGCACCGACAGAATTTTCATGTAAGGAGATGTTGCATGACGAACAACAAACGGCAGCTGTACCCTCATCCTCTTTATGTCATTCGCGTCACTCTGGCTCTTCCAGCGGCCGACTTTCCCACACGGTAAAAAGTTCGGAAAAAGAAATGATCTAACACTAAAAAGCCTTTACACGGACTAGAGAGACCAACAGACAAGGTTTTTGTCTTATTTTAAAGTGGGTCGCGACGCAGAGTGTCGCCGTTGGCACATCATGGTCAAGGTATGTTGACATCTGAGTGAGTGACAAATTTGCATATTTTAACCCTTAACAATAGTCGTTGCTACGCTTCGCGTATCCACGACTAAAAATAAAGCCATCCATCTTCTTTAGGGGAGGCGGGGAGGTGAGCAAGGAGCCAAGGGAGCGGCGAATAACCAGATTACAATGGCGGATGAATTAAAAGTGGGAATATTTAGAGATCCCGTTGACTTAAACGTTAACTTAAGCACACGCTCAAGCTAGTGGTTGCGGTCATAAGCATAAGCAGAGAATTTACAAATAAAGGTCTTTCCTCCTAACCACCGGTAGCCTTTTTTGCGAGCCCGCCAGCCCCTTTCCCATTTCATCGCCCCTGAAAAGAGAATTAAGCTTAAGGCCATATTTCATTTGGAATATAAGAGCCAGGTTCAACGTAAAAATATCATTCACAACAATTAGTTTCTATCTGAACTTTGAAAGACAGCTGGTAAAGTATGTTCAATTTCCACGTGGTCAAGTGTCTATTTCATCATCAAACTACTCACGCTGTTTCAATGGAATATAAAAACCTTATTTTGTCTGTGTAAACGAAAAAATGCTGCATGATATATCCTTTCCCTTCTAATGTTATTATACAAAGCGATGTGTCATTATATTGGTGAAGTATGGCGTGTAACCAAACAACCATGCACAGAAATTTTGAATTGATTTAAAATTCAGATCGCTCTCATTTGTAAAGTGTCCAGAGATGCTTTCGTAACCAACCCAAAGATCGCCCAAAATATGGTCACATTTCGTAAAACTCACAAGATGCAATAAAAAGACAAGTAAATAAGATCTATTACCTCCGCATTTCCCGCCATAAACCACTCGGGTGACGGAAAGTCCGAGAATGAACCAAATTGTAGTCACCATGCGGTAAGCCTGTCTTCTCCGTTCTCCAAGATTCAAATGCTTGTGGTTCGACAAATCGCTAAGGTATGAATATTTCTCTTCCACTTCTACTCCTCAGCCTAAAGTATAACTACAAAGAATAAGTTATGGTTTCTTGACAAACTGAAATTAATGTTTATCAGACCAAGCGTCCCCAGCTATGTTAATGTGATACGGAGCATAGTGAAATAAACAAATTCGGCTAACTCACGCGTGAGATTGAATTGTGTGCTCACATTGCGTGACAACAAAGCTCACTTTTGTAAATAATTTGCTTTATCAAACGAGTCGATTGATAAAGGTAAATTAACTACAGTGGTTAATTCACTTTATCAACTCGTTTGATGAAACCAAATTATTTTCATGTATCCTCACCGACGCAGCACCATTGTTTTCTTTAGAAAATAATCCCAACACTTTGGTTTGTTTCAAAACGCGGCTGCTTGTAATCTCTGTGTAAATCAAGTGCGTTACTGTAGTTGTTTTAATCACAAAACAGCAGACCTGGTCGACATCCTCAAGGAATCAGTTCCCAAAATTTAGTCCAACAACTTGGTCTTTGTGGCTTGAGCAAGGCTGAAAAAAAAAATGCTGGAGAGAAAAGCTATAGGTTTTTTCGAGAAGAGTATGTTTACGATATTTACGCATGTCAGCCGTCACAGGATTTCTACGTCGAAGCACATTGCTACAGATATTTAAGAAAAAGCGAAGAATCTCATTTTTAGCCGTAATCTTCAAGGAGAGCGATGACAGAGCGGAAGTTTTCAAAGCACATTGTTCGTGTAAAGGAGTTTGCGGTGAACATTAATTGCAATCATGTAATCATTAAGGCGCGAGACCACCTAAGGTTCGTCCATTGAATCTATCGGGTATCGAATGCTGCAGCACGAGCAAAATAGCTGCACAGTCTCATTCACAAGGCAGCAATACACAAAAGCGTGTCAGGCTTTTTCGATATTCTGATAGGTTGTGTAGATATCGTTATCTAAAGTTGGAGTAGCTATATATGCGAGTCGTGCTGCGTAAATGGACGCCCACGACAAATATTTCAAATATCAAAATTTCCCGACACACTTTCGTTTGCCATTATTCCAAGGATGTTTCGGCGAAATTTGACGAAAATCGGTCAAATCTATATACCCTATAAATTCGCTCAAAGCGGTTGTATTCCTCCCAAAATCAAATAGGAGATTTTAGCTCATAAAGGTTCGCAAACAACTCGCGCCATGCCAGGAGATTAGGGACTTCAAGATACGGTACGGTGAATCGTTATTACGTCTACCTTGGTCGCGATGGATTAGGGTGAGTACGGCGTATTTCCCGCCAAGTACGAATCGCTAAGGAGCAGTGACAATACGGCGAAAAGCTCAGAGCTCAAAGCGTTGTTGTGCAGTCATTTTATTGGCAAAAATGTCACCCTTCAAGCTAGCAATAGAGAGTTAATCCGTCTTTGTTATGACATAAATTACATTAGTGATGACGAATTTTTGCTGCCTTTCACTGGTTACGAATTACAAAACTTAGAACTTCCGTATGACTCGAGAATTTTAGTGACGACGAATGTTTGGCACAGTTTAGGGTTTAAAAAATGCACGTAGCGGTACTTGCTGAGGCTCTACAAATTCCTGCAACCGTAGGATGCAGCCAAGGGAGTGTTTGTGATGGAGAAGAAGCTTTATGTATGCTGTTAAAAGGCATGTGTTATCCATGTCGGTACAGCGACATGGTACAATGGTTCGCCAAGCCTGGCCTGTTCCTGTTATCAGCATGATAACAAATGAAGTGTTGGATTACATTTATGCAACTCATGGTCATCGTATTCAACAATGAAATCTAGAATACTACTCATTAGACCCAGGAATCTGGAATACTACGCTGATGTAGTTCACAGAAAAGAAGCACCACTGGATAACTGCTTCGGGTTTGTCGACGGAACTGATTGGCCTATATCTAGATCAGAATGCAACCAAAGAATCGTCCACAACGGGCTTACCCGTGTCCATGCTATCAAATTTCAGTGTGTCGTAACCTCAGACGGAATGATTAATAATATGTTTGGACCTGTTGGTGGGTACTTTAGAGTGCCTGCATTCCAATATTTATGTTTGCTTATGTGTTTGTATGGTTTTTGTATTCGATCAATAACAAATGATTTATTCTAAGAGTGAGGCAACAGCAAATGCAACTTTATTTACGACGTACTTACTAATTCTGAGTTATTAATTAACATTGTATTTTTCAGAGGGAAGAAGACATGATGCCGGGATGTTGGCAGACTCCAATCTGTTGGCAGATCTCAACCGATATGCCCTTTCGCTATCTGGACGGCCTCTGTGTATATACGGTGATCCGGCTTATCCTTTGCGAGTGAACCTCTGGGGCCCACTCAGAAATGCAGTTTTGACTCCTCAAATGAAGGTCTTCTGGCTCAATGGCTCTTCGGAGACATTGTAAACTATTTAAATTAAAGTTTTTAGATTTTACAAAGAACTTAAAACCTTGTTTGAGCTCGGTAGGGAAAATATATATCGTTTGCGCACTTTTAAGATACAGCCTTACTTGCCTGTATGGAAATAACACTTCTGAGTTCTTTCGGTGTAACCCTCCGGACCTTTTTACTTACTTTGCATGATACTATGGTTTTTTTTTAACCGAACAAAAAGAAAGTATAGTTGTTAGCACTGAAATAATTTACTCATTTAAGATATATCTTGAATAGTGTAAACCACTGAACAAATTTCCAACAAAATAGGGGGAAATCATATTTGCAGAACACAACAGAATTTACACCGACTTTAAAAAAACAGAGAATGCAAAATGACATTTAACAAACAAAATCAGTAACTTGAAGATGCAACAAATTTACAAGGAAGAGTAAATTAATGCGATGTCATCTCTGTCGGAAAACTAGTTCGTTATTACTTTTTCGTAAGTCTTTCTAACAATACCATCATAGTCTGTGTTTGTTGTTGCTGTTGCTGCTAAAAAGCCATCTGAAGTGTTTGCATCTGATCTTTTTGTTTTGCCATGTTTGCAATCATAGCATCCAGGGTTTTTAACATCTCACTTGCTTCTCTTTTTCGTTTTCAACTTCTCCTGCTTTCAAAGCGAGCTCCTCTTGACGGATCTTAAGCTCCTTTTCTGACTTTTTCCGTAGAATTTCGGTAACATCAGCTCCGCTTCTTCGCTGCCTTTTCGCTGTTCTTTTAGTTTCACCAATTCTTTCCAAGGCTTGGCAACGCTTCTCTTCGGCTTTTTTGCGATCTGTTTCTACGCTCTTGCTGCTACAAGATTCTCTCGTTGATTCTGCTAGTTTCTCTCTTTCAGACATTTCTTCTAACAGCACGTCGAGCTCTGTTGGTTTGAGAAATGCACTACATGCTTTTGCTTCTTCTCTACTTTGCTGTCGAGATCTTCCAAGTAAAAAGTCAAATCTCTTTCTCATCGCCCTTTGATTTACTTTGAATTTGACTGCAGTTACACAGTTGAGATTTTCGGAAATTTGCGTCCAAGTTCTTCCTCTTTCATTGCTTCCTTTCTTGAACTTGTAAAACTCTTGTAAAAAAATTTCTCTGCACAGCAACACGTCGTGCGCTGTTTTCCACTCCATTGGCCTGTTATATAAATCAAAATTAACAGAAATGAATGAAATCTTTAATAACTTGTTATCAGTATCCATGCACCAGCTTAGTGCCGGAAAAGCAAACCGAAGAACTCGACTGAGTCAAAAAAAATTAAAACGAACGAAAACGATAAAAAAATACTTACCATTGCCCCTTTTTTTGACATCTTTTTTCTACAGATACATTTGGACCAATTTTCGTCTTAGCTATGATTTATCAATTCGTAAAGAAACGAAATCAATTTAATCGCAAGGAAAAAAACGTACCTAACCACGTTCTGTAATATCATAACGACAGTCTGCTAAGACTGCTAACGATGAGCTCATAGTGCTTGATTCTTGCTGCTGTGACAACGTTTTGCCAATCAGGAGTATATGCACAGTTGACTCTCATTAACCCATATAGTCCGCTGCGATGGGTCAGAGTAATGAGACGGAAAATTGTAAGAAAAAAAAACATTTTGAAGCAGAACTTTTTACCTGCGTATCTAAGTTGCTATTGCAAAAGTCATTCGAAAAATACGGCTCTTTTAAAAATTAGTGATCACTTATTAATGTTGCTTTGATGATGCGTAAAAATATAACTGACTACCAACAAAATGCAAAAAGGAATTACCGATTGGGACGGACAAGTAAATACTAACTACTTTAAATTCCGGATTCAGTTTAATAATTATATAATTTCCGGGGTAGAGAGGGTGGATCCTTGGGGTCATTCTAGCCTCCCCTTCTCAAAAGATGTTAGTGTTATGGCCCGAGAGTAAGGCACAAAAGTTGGATTGAAAACAGCGCACGGCGCGGCACTTACTACGCTGAATGATCACCTCACAGCGTGGTCTCACACCCACTACTCAGTAATGAATGAGTTGCCAGTAATCGGATCCTTGTGTTTGCGCAAAGATCTCTGGGATTGCCACGGGGCAAATATTGCTACTCGCAATAAAGGAATGTATGGCAAGGGATTATTTCGATATCCAAAAAAAAAACGATTTTGGGGAGAGATCATCGCTTTTTTCCGCTGTTTTAAAACAAATGGGGGTGGTAATATTGATACAAGGGTAGCGCAAGGTTTTGTTTGAATAACCGTGAACTACGTGGTGAAATCTAGCCATTAACTTTTTTCCATGCGCAAGGGTTATAGTGAAATTGACATCTAGGGCCCTAAATTGAGAATATTAATTGATTTTTTAGCGGGATCATCACCTATGGTTGTAAAAATAGTGTTTGTTTCTTTCACTACCTACTTATGGTGATTGTTTTCTGTTACATTCTGACTAATAATTCGCACAGCAAAACCAAGCCAAACTAAACTCAATTACTCAACAAAGGGAGGTTTTATTTTATCATTCATTTGTATCTTTCTCTGCTTTTATTTCTTTGGAGACCATCCATGTCACGCTACAGTTTCTAAAGAATTGTCTTTCAGCTTCTTTTCTCTTGTAATAACGAGTGTTGGCTTTCAATTTTTAACCCACGTATTGAGTAGTCAGTCTTTACAAATAACAACCAATACTAACATAACCATTCAGCCGGTCATAGCTGT